ATGTGGTGTATCACACTGATTAATTTGCGAATATTGAGCCACCCTTTCAATGACAAGACTAAATCCCCCTTGATTGTGGTGAATGATTTTTTAAATTATGTTGCATTCAGTTTGCTAATAATTATGTTAAGGATTTCTGTATCTATGTTCATCACAGATATTGACCTGCAGGTCTCTTTTTTTGTAATGCCTTTGTCTGGTTTTGGTATCATGGTCATGCTGGCCTCATAGAATGAATTTGGAAGCTTTACTTCCTCTTCTATTCTTTGGAATAGTTTGAGAAGAATAGGTATTAACTCTTCTTTAAGTATTTGGTAGAATTTACGTGTGGTCCTAGAGTTTTGTTTGTTGGGAGCTTTTAATTTCCTTGCTCGTAATTGGTCTGTTCAAATTTTCTCTTTCTTCCTGATTCGGTTTTGGTAGGTTATATGTTTCTAGGAATTTTTCCATTTCTTTTAGGTTGTCCAATTTGTTGGCATGTAATTTTTCATAATATTCTCTTGTAATCCTTTGTATTTCTGTGGTGTTGTTATTTCTCTTTCATTTCTGAATTTGTTTATTCAAGATTTCTCTCTTTCTCTCTCATGGGTTTGGTAGAGATTTATCAATTTTGTTTCTCTTTTCAAAGAACCAGCTCCTGGTTCCTTTGATCTGTTCTATTGGGTTTGGTTTGTTTGTTTGTTTTTAGTTTCTATTTCATTTATTTTTGCTCTGATCTTTTTTATTTCCTTCCTTCTACTGGTTTTGGGTGTTGCTTGTTTGTCTTTTTCTAGCTCCTTTAGGTGTAAGCTTGGGTTGTTCATTTGAAATTTTTCTTCCTCCTTGAAGTAGGCTTGTATTGCTATAAACTTCCCTCTTAGCACAGTTTTGCTGCATCCTGAAGATTTTGGCCATTGTGGGGTTTTCATTTTCATTTGTCTTCATATAATTTTTTTAATTTCATCTTTGATTTCTTTGTTGACCCATTCATTGTTTAGTAGTGTATTATTTAACCTCCATATATTTGTGCTCTTTCCAGATTTTTCCTTGTGGTTGATTTCTAGTATCATAGGGTTGTGGTTGGAAGAGATTCATGGTATAACTTCTGAATTTTTTGAGGCTTGTTTTATGGCCTCACATTAGGTTTACATATAACATTTATATAGCAGTCTCTATTAAGTTGATGGCCACTTAAATTTGTGCCCATCCTAAAAGCACTAAATTTTTACTCTCCTCCCTCCCACATTATAGGCATATGGTGTAAAACCTTACATCCTTTATTTTGTGAATCCCTTGACTGGTTGTTTTTTGTTTGTTTATTTTTGTTTTTTTTAGATATACTTGATTTTACTGCTTCTGTGATTCCTTCTTTTCTTATTCCTGTTTATGGTCTTTCCTTTCCACTCAGAGAATCCCCTTTAACATTTCTTATAAGACTGGTTTTGTGGTGATGAATTCCTTTAACTTATGTTTGTCTGGGAAACTCTCTCTCCTTCTGTTTTGAATGATAGCTTTGCTGGGTAGAGAATTCTTGGCTGTAGGTTTTTTCCTTTCAGCACTTGGGAATATATCATGCCAATTTCTTCTGGCCTGCAAAGTTTCTTCTGAAAAATCAGCTAATAGCCTTATGGGTTTCCTTATATGTAACTCTTTTCTCTTGGTGCTTTTAAAATTCTCTCTTTGTCACTACTTTTTGCCATTTTATTTACTGTGTATCTTGGTGTGGACCTCCCAGGGGTTGACTTCGTTGGGGGCTCTCTGTGCCTCCTGGATCTGGATTTCCATTTCCTTCCCCAGATTAGGGAAGTTTTCAACTGTTATTTCTTTAAATAAATTCTCTGCACCCTTTTCTCTCTCTTCTCTTTCTGGGATTCCTATAATGCAAATGTTATTAGGCTTGATGGTGTCACTGAGTTCCCTAAGTCTATTTTCATTTTTTATAATTCTTATTTATTTCTCTGGTTGAGTTTAATTGCTTTCCATTACTCTGTCCTCTAGGTCACTGATTCATTCTTCTGCTTTCTCAAGTCTACTATTCATTCCCTCTATTGTATTTTTAATTTCTATTATTGATTTCTTCATCTCTGATTCATTATTACTTATATTTTCTACTTCTTTGTTGAGGGTCCTACTGAGATCCTCCACTCTTTTCTCAAGTCCAGTGAGTATCTTTATGACCATTATTTCAAATTCTTCATCAGGTATATTGCTTATCTCTGTTTCCTTTAGCTCTCTTGCTGTGATTTTGTCCTGTTCTTTCATTTGGGACATTTCCTTCTATAAGACCTCATTTTGTCTAACTTTGTGTGTCTTTTCTGTGTATTAGGAAAGTCAGATGGGTCTCCTGCTCTTAAAAGTAGTGGCCTTATGAGGAAGTTCCTGTAGTGCCCTTGCTGTTCAGTGCCCCCCGTCACCAGAGTCTGGCACTTCAGGGATGTCTCCTAGGTATCTTGTATGTACCCTACTATTGTCATTGATCTGTGTTTGCCTTCAGTCCAGTCTTCTGCAATGGCTGTCTCAGCCTGTTATGGGCAGGTTTTGATCCCTGTGTTGTCCCCTGAGAAGCTCGCATTGGTGGGCAGGTCAAGCAGTCAGACCAGATGTCTGCCCTCGGTTCACTGTCATTGCTGCAGTAGGGCTGGTGTGTGTGGTTATCTTACCCTCTCCCCAGAGCAGGAGTCACTTTGGAGTGGTGCTGGCCCCTTTTGTGGCTACTTGCACAATGCCATTATTTTGGTGCTACTTCTGAGAACTCCTGGTCTGCTGTGGGAGGGACCTGGAGCTGCTTTGGATGGATTTCTGCTGAGGATAGGCTAGATGGGGCAGGTCCACAGGAGACCCTCGTGGTGGGACACGCTGTTAGCAAGCGAGGTGGAGAGTGTTTGTGCTGGTTCCTGCTGGTATTGGTGTACATAGGCTGGTGGGCAGGAGGAGGGAAATGGTTAAAGATCCCTGCTCCTCCAGCCACAAGCCCTGAGATGAGTAAATAAATCTCCCTCCAGTATACCCCAGGCAATTTTCAAAGTCCTGCTTCTGTGCTGTATCTCAGGAGGGTTGTTTGTTATGCTGTCTCTTTAAGGGTGGGGACTCAATTTCCTGTGCCCTCCAGCTCTCCACAATGGAGCCCTCTGTTTTTTAAGTTCTAGGTGTTAAGCCCCACTGATTGTAAAAACTTGCAATGTTAATCCCCTCTGTTTTTCAAAGCCAGTTGTTAAGGGGGGATTGTTTTCCCAGCAGGTCCTCTGTGCCTGGAGTGCCTGTGTGGGTTCTGCTCCTCTCCCTCTCTCCTTTCTCTGTGCTTCTGGAGTCCCTCCCTCCTGTGGTTGCCGTTTGGCTTGGTTCCAGACCATGTTTCCACCGTTCCTACCATTCTCAGTGTGGTTTCTCGTCTAGGATAAGCTTTGGAGAGTCTGCGGTGCCAGTCTTTGGGTCATTCTCTGGGTTATTTACACTGATGTGGGTGTCATCTAGATGTGTCCGTGGGATGAGGTATGCTTAGGATCCTCCTACTCCACCGTCTTCCCCAGATGTTTCTTTATTGTACTTTAATGGTGGATACGTGTCATTATACATTTGTCAGAGCCCAAGTAAGGCACAACACCAAGAGTGAACCCTAATGAAGCCTATGGACTCTGGGTGATGATGATGTGTCAGTGAAAGGTTATCGATTGTAAGCTATTGATTGTACAAATGTAGCACTCTGGTTGGAGGGTGTTGATAAAGAGCATTGTGGGTGTGTGGGGGCTGGACGTATATGAGAATTCTGTGTGCCTGTTGCTGAGTTTTGCAGTGAATTTAATACAGCTCTAAAAACTGAAGCCTGTTTTTTAAAAAGGAAGAATCTCTATTATGATTCATAGTCCTTTGCCATCATTAGCTTCTATTAAAATATAATTAACTGATTCAGTCTCTTTGGGTCCTTTTAAATACAGCTGGAGGGGGGTGCCTGGGTGGCTCAGTTGCTTAAGTGTCTGCCTTTGGCTCAGGTCATGATCCCAGGGTCCTGGGATCAAGTCTGCTTCTCCCTCTTCCCTGCTGCTCCCCTTGCTCATTCTCAGGCTCTTTCTCATGCTACATCTCTCTGTAAATAAATAAATAAAATGTTTAATAAATAAATACGTACATACACACATACATACATATGTACATACAGCTGGAAGGGTTGGTTATTAGTGTGACTGTTAATATGCTTCTTAACTTGTCTGCCTCTAGTTTCACATCCATATATTGGGAAGCTAGCTTGAAGAGGTATGACATAGAGGTAGTAAATAATACACATAAAGTCATTTTAAATGCCTATGGGAGGCATTATTGAATAAATGGTAGTAGTTTTACTTAATGACCTTTTGGATTAAATGTTCGATTGCAGGATACCCACTGCTAACTTTCCTATCATCATCACAATTCCTCTTATAAAGTATTTAATATCTAACATTTTTATTCTAATGCATACTGATGTTTTAAAATAATATTACTTGGGCGCCTGGGTGGCTCAGATGGTTAAGCGACTGCCTTCGGCTCAGGTCATGATCCTGGAGTCCCGGGATCGAGTCCCGCATCGGGCTCCCTGCTCGGCGGGGAGTCTGCTTCTCCTCCCTCTGACCCTCCTCCCTCGCCTGCTCTGTGTCTCTCATTCTCTCTCTCTCTCAAATAAATAAATAAAATCTTTAAAAAAAATAAAAAATAAAAATATAAAATAAAATAAAATAATATTACTTGACATCTAATATTGCGGCTGCAACATTTCATTTAATTTTTTAACATGACATTATCACTCCCCGCAGAATGAAAAATATTACACTAAATGTCATACCTTCACCTTATGGTGTGTCTGTGTGTTTAATCATGAACTGTGTGTCTGGCTTTCTTTTTAATGCTAGTGATAACAGCATGGTGGCACATAAACAATGCCTTCTTATACTATTTGTTGGGGGCAGAGTGAGGAAGATATGCTGTAATCACCTTAGAACCTGGAGTGCTTTCCTACTTTACTGCTGTTCCCCTGATCTCTTCTTCCCTAGGAGGGGATCCTTGGAACTCAGGCGAACATTACCCCCTTCATTACAGAGTGTTACAAATGATCTCAGATGTGCTGTGTCCCTGCTTTTCCCCGTCAACCCACAAAGTAGTGCTGCACCAGGCCAGGATGAATCTGAATGAGTAGGCAGGAAGAAATCATCTGATGAATGTTATCTACAGAATTATAAACTGCAAATGAGGAATTTTTTCCACATGCCTCTTCCACCAAAACGGCATAAAGGAAGAGACGATCCAAGGTGTGCGATGGAAGAGAACTTAGAAGCCAGGGGTGGGGATTGCGTCCCTTTCCCCCAAGCAGGGAACCACCGTGCACTGTCAATGGTACTCCTTTGCCCGAAGAAGAGACTCGTGGACTTTGTAGAACTGCCTAAAACCTGGGATTCATGAATTCACACGTCTCTCCTGGCGGTCTCTGGAACACAGTGGACCTGTAGCCAGGAGATGAGACCTGGGGAGGAACGGTCAGGGGCATGCAGCCCTGCTGGCTTTGATGATGGAGGAAGGGGGTCCATGAACCAAGGACGCAGCCTCTGGAAGCTGCCAACGCAAGGACACGATCCTCCCCTGGAGCCTCCAGAGGGAACACAGCCCTGCTCACACCTCGCCTTCAGCCCCTGAGGCCTGTGTTGGCCTTCTGACCTTCAGGACTGTGCGATAAAATGGGGGGGTGGGGTGGGGATTGCCTCTACATTTGTGGTAATTAGTTACAGCTGTGATAGAAAATGAACACGTCTCACTCATTAGTTCAAAACACATTTTTGAGTGTTGGATAAACGACACATGGTACCTACCCTTTTAATTTTGTGACGGAAATGCTGTGGGATACAGAAAGTCCTGTGTCCTCAATTTGGACAGTGGGAAAAGACGGGACAGAGGAAGAGTATTTCTCACTCAGACCATCAGGAAGTTGCCAGGAGGAGAAGAAAAGAATGAAGTTGTTCCTTTCCTCTTCTGATGCCCCCGCAGCACAGACTCAGCCATCGGTAAGTGCTGTATAATCAGGATTAGGTTAGTGTAGCACATACCGAGGCACCCACGAGTACTCTCTCTAGCCGTCTCAGCAGCCGTGTGCACAACCTCGCTCCCCGTGCACAGCTTCCGACCTCACGGACCTGCGTCTCCTGCGTCTCCCCACCCGCGGGCCTTCTGCGGCTGCTGGAAGCATCCCTGGCCCACGGACGTGCTGGGGAGGGCAGCCCTGCTCAGCCGAGCTCTGACTCTGGCGGTGGATTAATGGTGGATAAATTGTCCTTGTCCTCCGCTCACGGAAGACGGTGCTGACGTGGGTCTCTTGGCCTTGCAGAAGCACCCACCAACGCAACGATTATTCGCAATTCTGAGTGTTTAGCCCTGGTGTGGCGGCTGTGAAACCGAAGACCTTATTCCTTGGTATCCTTTGATGCCTGCAAAACATACTGCAGAAGTAAACAAATAAAACCCCACTAGATACTGTGTAGGAAGTCACAGTGTGCCAGTGGATTGGGTCCTGTAGAAATCCTTTGCATGTTCCCTAAACACAGAAACACTTCTGTCCCTGAAAGTAGCACCTGAGGGAAGTCAGTCCACCGAGGCATTTCAGCCAACGCCCCACAGGGCCAGCCAACCCATTTCAGGAAATGTCAAACTAAATGCCGAGATCCTGTTGATTGATTGAATGATCCAGAAACCATAATTAAGGCTTTACTTTTATAACCTATTGGTTACAAGCAGAAAACGCAATGGTTATATGGGCTCTGAAAATAAATTTCAACAATACTTATAGAACCCCCAAACTAAAGTCATTTTCCATATTTCTTTGCTACAAGGCAGAAGTATTTAATTGTCTCTTACAAGACAATTGCCTATCCCTCAAATTCTTATAGATTTACAGACAAGAGTTTCCAACAACAACACTGTAATTTGTTTTTGAATTTCAGTGAAGAGCAGATGTTCAGATTTCATGATAAATGCACATAAATATACAAGCTAATTTTATACCATGCCAGTCTTTTGAAATGCAGATGAAATAATACCATTCCTCTTGTTCTTACAGATTTTATCCCTTCTACACGTTTTTCATGATCTCTTGACTAATGTGTACAGTACATGACATCACTTGGAGACAGAACCTTACTAAGAACTGAAACCTAATTATATTTTTTTGTTTCCCTTATATTTTATGTTTATTTTTTTTTATTTTAAATCCAGTTTAGTTAACATACAGTATTATATCAGTTTCAGATGTATAGTATAGTGATTTAACAACTCTGTACATTACTCAGGGCTTATCACAAGTGCCCTCCTTCATCCCCATCACCTCATCCCTGTTTCCGCCCCCCACCTCCTCTCTGGTGACCTTCAGTGCGTTTTCTGTAGTTAAGAGTCTGTTTTTTGGTTTGTCTCTCTCTCTTTAATTTGTTCATTTGTCTTGTTTCTTAACAGTCCACATATGAGTGGCCTCATATGGTATTTGTCTTTCTCTGACTGATTTCGCTGAGCACCTAATAATAAATTTTGAACTTTGGAACAGTATGAGGAATCTTCCTGTCTTCTGGTAGTATCGAAGCAGTGTCAGTCCCCCTGGTTGTTCGTGGAGCCTGGTATAAACATTATGTTTCCATTTCTGTTGGAATACTAAATTTAAAAAACAGACCAGTGATTTTAATGCATCTTTTCATTGTCTTAAAAATGACATGATACACCTGTTACCCATGTCAGAAAATGGCATAGATTATCCCTGATGAGATGACTATATTTATGATGGAGATCAGTTATACTGTGAACATCTGTATCCGTTTTAATGACCAGAAAAGCATATATTTCACCTTAGTTTTCTTAGTGCTGATGGTCATGGCTTAGCACTAATAGCACAAGAAATCTTCCCCAAATGCCCCTGACCTTTGCCCTCTGCAAGTGGAGTGGAGGATCTCCTTCCTGGACTGTGTTTGGGGGAGGGAATCCAGACTGGACTGTGTTTGGGGGAGGGAATCCCCCAGGATGCTTGTGAAGAAATGCTCTTCAGCCTGTAGTCTTCCTGCCAAAGGTCGTGTGAGCAGAAACCCAGAAGTGTGCGTTTCCATGCCTCCTGTACCCAGCCCTCTGTGGGCAGCCACACATCTCTGACCTTACCTGGGAGCACCGCTGCCCACTGGGCTGAGCAGCTCCTTGCAGGGGGGACTCTCTCTTCCTGACAACATCTCCCTTCTAGGGCACAGTGCTCATCTTAGGTATTCTGCCTCGGACCGTCTCAGCTTGTGCTCAGTAGGACCCCAGGGAGACCTCCGGGCATGCGTGCTAGTCCAGAAACGAAGCCAATTAACAGCACGGGACAGTCGGATGTCCATAGTGTCCTTCTTCGATTTTCCCTCCCTCCCTCCCTTCTCCTCCTCCTCCTCTCACTCTGTCTCCCTCTTTCTCTCTCTAGAGAATCTATGATATAATCTCTCATCTTATCTATCTTACCTATCCTCTACCAGCAGACATGATAGAGACACAGACTTCTAAAGGGTCATTTTAAAGGACTGTTTGTGTATTAAAGGCAATTTTATTGAGTGAGTAATAAGCAGATGATTTCTCATCAACGATTCTTCTTTTAGTTATTAAAGTTGGTTAAAGACCAAATGTTATGGACCAAATGTTTATCCCCCCCAAATTCATATGTTGAAACCTAACCCCCAATATAATGGCATTTGAGGGTGGGGTCTTTGGGAGGTGACCAGATCATAAGGGAGAAGCCCCCATGAATGAGGTTAATTGAGAGAGACCCCAGAGAGCTCTCTTGCCCTTCCACCGTTGAGGACAGAGCAAGAAGAGGACCCAAACACAACCATGGTGGTATCCTTATCTCAGACCTCCAGCCTCCAGAACTGAGGGGAGGAAGTGCCTGTTGTCTATAAGCCTCCCTCCCAGCCTATGGCTTTCTCTTACAGCAGCTTGACCTGAGACACCAGATTTCTCTGTGTTTAAAGAAAGATGACATGCTAATTATAATTAGGAAATCTGAGTAAGTTCAGGAGCAGAAGGTAAATGACAGAACCTCTGTAAGAGAGAAGTTTGATTCCAGATGTAATAAACACCTGTTGTTTAAAGGAACGGTGACAAGAAGAGCGGAATGTCTGCCCACCTTACTCTGGAAGGCCGCTCACTGGCAATAGTGAGCTATGAACAATGCTCTTCTGGATTCCCTCCCCCAAACACAGTCCCGTCTGGATTCCCTCTTCCAAACACAATCCAATCTGGATTCCCTCCCCCAAACACAATCCAGTCTGGATTCCCTCCCCCAAACGCAGTCCAGTCTGGATTCCCTCCCCCAAACGCAGTCCAGTCTGGATTCCCTCCCCCAAACGCAGTCCAGTCTGGATTCCCTCCCCCAAACGCAGTCCAGTCTGGATTCCCTCCCCCAAACGCAGTCCAGTCTGGATTCCCTCCCCCAAACGCAGTCCAGTCTGGATTCCCTCCCCCAAATACAATCCAATCTTATTGTCATAACAATAGTGCTACAGCTTTCTTTGCTCCTTGTGTTTTCACAAATCAAATTTTAAATTTGATTTTTTTCTTCAGATGATGAGCTGCGTGCATATTATTACATCTAGTATAAACATGGAATATCAGCCAAGTCCAAGTCAAATTAGATCATCCTTGGCACCTCTTTATATGAAATGTTATGTCTATAAGCTCATCAAAGAATAACATCCAGTTCCATATGACGAGCATACGTTCCTGCCTTAATCATCTCTAGAGCTTTGTTACTTCCAGTTACCAGTGATGGGACAGGGAGCCGCGGTCCATGATGTCACGGACAAAAGCCCTAGCCAAAAATGATTTGTGAGAAAGACATATGGAGAAGACTTTAGATTTGGAACTAGTTCCAGACTATAAGCTATTTCTTCAGACCATGTAGTTAGCCTAGATGGGGTACCTTTGAAACAGAGTCTCTGGAGCCTGTCAGAAGGTCATAAGCAGCTGTGGGCAACATGGCATAATACTGTCTCTCAGTCGATGTGGACAAACACTAAGAAGGAAAAATGCTGGAGGCTGTCATGCTGGAGGCTGTCATAGTTGAAGTGGAAATGAGTTTTTGTGTTTATGTGTAAGTTATTTACTTGATAATAGAATACAATCCTGGATTCCCATATCAGGAGCCTGAACTCTTTCCGTATGCATGGGCACTAGGTAACTTCTCCATTTCAAGGGATCCTGCTGTGAATGTTCCCGTGGAGGAAGAACTCATTCTTTTCTGTGAAGCATCAGTCTCGTTTTCAGTAAACTTGCGTTTGTGTTCCTGTATTTAATCTCCTTAAGAAAGAACTACTTCCAACATTAATTTGACTTTAAAATGTAGCTCAAAACCATTTTCCTATTCGAAGAATCGTGACTTTTAGTTTGCTAGATATCGCAAAGAAACAAACCTCTCTTTTGTCAAGAGGGAATCATTTTAAAGATGAGAGATTGGTGGGTTTTGGCCAGTTTTGAATGTAGTGGAGCTTGTAGATGGAAGTCCTTACCCTGGAGGTTTTCCCTCCCAACCCTGCCTGCAGACCTGCCATCAGGCCTGCGTTTTGAAAGTGTACGCGTGGGTTTGTCTGTCTGTGAACATGGTCTTATCTGTGAACATACAAAACAAGTACACTGTTATCGGCAGTGGTCTCGCAAACGCTCCGAACTTTTCAACACAGGGTGTAATGCTCGTGCGGGAATTAGATTTACGGCAATACTAAGATGTGTACCTGCCCAACGGAATGTATCACAATAGCTTGTAGGCTGGAACGAGTTCCAAATCTAAATGCCTGCTGGTCACTAATGTGGGTGTGCAGGGCCGGTTCATACGCTTGCTTTATTAAGAATCAAGAGAGTAAGAGGACTGGGAGTTGGCTAGCCAGCACAGAGTTTGTGTAGAGCAAAATCCCCCTCTGTAGTACTCATCAGAACAAGAGAAACTTGCAGCTCGTGAGTTAATTGTATCCTTGTATTCATAGATTCAGTCTCGTACTGGGCTCCGTAGAAT